CAATAATCATAACATGCTTTATTTTTTAAAGCAAAATATTTGTAAGAAGTTCTGAAATTACATATTAACCTTTGAATCAGGTAAAAATATCATTATGGAAACTGTTTGACATGGAAAACCAAAATGAAATAGCTCATGTGTCTTTGAAAACATGAATACCTATTGAAAATAAGAAAGAGATATTGGGTGACTCGGCCACACTGGTGTCTCTGTCCATATCCAGTTCCCTGAGGGCTTTGCCCCCCACACTGATGCATATCAGGAATTTCCTTTTGTTTTTTACTGAACCAGCCCCATCACTAAAATGGTGCCATCTGGCATCCAGATATTATTGTTTGCTCTCTTCCCCCATCCCCTTCTTCTTTTTATGGCTAGCACCAGGGTTATTTATGGCAGTATGTTAAAAGCTGGGTATGGTGTTAACATACAAAAGCATTTTTCAAGAGCTAGAGACAGAAATCTTTTAAACAACACCTCCACACCCACAAACCCCATCTCATTATACCTAGAAAAAAACCATGCTTTTTTAATCATGACTACTGCCCTTTCTGACTCCAGCTGTTATGTTGTGCTGGTGTAATGAGCTTCAGTGAAAGAGGTCAGAGAGAAAGATACTGTGGCTTCTCCCTCAGATAACATATTTCTAAGGCCTGGTGAATGGTGACTTCAGAGACGGACTGCAACAGAAGAACAATATGTACAACACAGGACAGCAAGGGCTTCTCACCTAAGCCTTTGTCCTAACAAAGATTACAATCCCTTCTTACCAATCTAGAGTATTTCATAGTAGTTCTGTCAGCAATTAATATTTAATTGAACCCATCTAGGGTTGCAGCAGGTCAGACAACACAAACATAACTATCCCCTCTAGCCTTCAAGTGGCTGAACTGTTTATGATTAATTCTTTGAGCAGCAGAACCAATGAAGACTGATTTAACATGGATTTATATTTGAAGGCTGAGTGCCCAAGTGGATTCTCTGGTATCCCTCAAGGATGAAACTCCTTTAGAAACCTTTCCTTCAACTGGGCAATTGTAGGGTGTCAATTTTCTCCCTAGTCATTTAGTTCAGTGAAACATGTGGAAAATACTACCACTGAATTTCCTGGTGAATATCAACCAAACCTGACAGAGGAGCAAAATTCTCCTTTATAACTTTATACCTCTGTCAAATTCAGTTAACAGGAATAAATTCAGACATTACTGAGAGAAGAGGAAGGCAACTGACAGATAGACATATACAGACAAAATTAAACCATAAGACTTGCTTCCTTCAGAAATTCCTGAAGAAATAAATAATGGAAGGCACTACATGCAGATGGAATAAAAGTGAGAAAAATGAGGTGTCTGCTGCTCTAGCAGCACATGTTAGAGAATGATCACAAATTACAGGTGGAAGGACAATGTAAAAAAAAAAAAGTGTAACTTTATAACTCATAGTATGCAATTATAACCAAAATTGTATTCAATAGAAAGTCACAAAATTCACAAGAAAGAGACACAGAAATTCACAAATATGAGAACTCAGTGCATAGGAGAAATATGTTGAAAATTTTTAGCTTTTAAACTTCCAATAAAAAAATAAACTTTGAGAAGGACAATAGAGTTGCTTATAGATGGGATTTGCTTTCTCTGCCTGAAGAATGATAAGGAAGAAATATGAAAGCAGTAGAGGAAGAATGGTCTGCTGGCTGCAAAGAATGACCCTATCTGTAGAGGAGAATAGGGTCAGTGACTTTGTGGCATAAGAAAGCTTGGGAAGAGCCTCAGTTGAAGCATAGGAAAAGAATGACATCTGCCCAAGTGCAGTCATAACCAATATGGAGTGAATAGGAAAATCACATAAGCATAGCTTGTTTGAAGAAACTACCATTACTCCAACTTCAAGCAAGCAGGTTCATGACCACCCTATGCTGCCTCTTCAGCAACTGGCTCACCATGCCACTGGAGGCCTTCTGCTGTTCCTCCAGCTCTACAACTGCTCTCTTTCTCCTCCACGCTGCCTCTCCTCTTCCCATTGTTCCCTGTCTGCTGACTGGAGGAGTGGGGTCTCCAAGAAAGCCCATCCTGGCTGCCCAGCTCAACTTCCACTCTCAAACCCTGCCCAGCCAGCGTTGCTCTCTGAATCAGAGAAAAGACATGGCTTCCTCAGAGGAGGGGAAGCAAGCAATTAGAATTGTTTTTTAGATCCCCTGGTATGTTTTCTGAAAATATTTACAGCAAAGTAACACACTACAACATGCTTAGGAATAAGATGGTAAGAAGTTGATGGTCATGTTCTAGTTGCTGAAGTTCACAGTCAGCAAAATAGCTGGCCACATCATCCACTGTCTTATACCAGCTTACGCTTGAGCCAATATTTAAAATCTCTTGGCCACTCCAAGCCCCAAATTACACTCTAGACTGATCATTCATTAGCCAAAATATGTGGGTGATAGCCTGACATCTGTCAGCATGGCAGGCCATGGAGTATTGCCTTGTATCTCTGCATAGCTGCAGAAACACAGACCAAAAGGTGCATTGTCATGTAATACACTTTGCTTTTCAACTGTTTGGTGTATTTGAAATCCCAGCACAGATGAATGAGGACAAGTGAAGCTGTAAAACTGGCATCAAAGTTGATTGTTGATTGCATCTTGGTGATTTCTTAATGTTTTTTTTTTTTCCTTTTTTTATGTCATTACATACATTTTTGCAATCTAAAAACTAGGACCTAAAATGAATAACTGTTTAAAGTCAGACACTAATGAAAAACACTGTTAATAGTGAGGAAACCAAACCAATTTTATGTGCAAGTTCACTGTTCAGGTCATTGTCAACAGATTAGATATTCTAGAACAACATGTAGATGGTTGTTAGAGTTTACAGACAGGGATTACATGGATGGCCCTTTCAGCACAAGTTTTCTAAGTTTTTATTTGGTCTTTCTGTATCATGTCTGATCACTAAAAATCATTCCAAACTAAACACAAGGCATGGATATCTCCAAGCTTCAGGAAAGTTTGCATGAGGATCCTTACTTTGCACCCTTTATTTTAGCTGTTATTCAACATATATAAAAATCTATAATTTAATTTTATGTCATATTGATTTCTCATCAGCCTAAAGTAAAGATCATACATGCTCCCTGAGTTGTGCTTTGCAGGGAGAAAAAAATACGCAAAATGTCACCCCATGGCAGAGAGAAGCTAGTCTGGACTGTGCCCCGCTGTATTGGTATGTTAGTATCCCACTGATACACCTGACCTGTTGCACAAGATGAGGTAAAACAATTAGGATGACTTTGCATAACAGGGCCTTTATTGCAGCAGAGCAGTGAAACTTGAAAGTAAGGAGGTGTCATAGCTGCACTTAAATAACTTAAAAGTTCTTAAACTCCTTTCTCTTTATATCTCTCAAGATCTGTTTTAATATCACAAGTACTATAACCATATGGTTTTTCCAGAATATTTTACTGAAATACATGCCATGATAAACAAAAGGCTCTTCATCTTTCCCTGGAGGTTATGCCTATTTTCAACAAAAGCTTTCTTGTTACTATTTAAAGCTGTACTCATACATATATTACTATACTCTTTTTCTACAGTACTGTCAACATTGTTCACAAGATTTATCTAAAAAATGTCTTAGTGTAACAAATTGTTCCAGATTAGACCATCTATCAGTATGATACCTTTTAATAAACTTCCTGATAATACATCTTTTTTAGGTATGCTTCTGGGGTTATTTACAGTTTGATAAATGCACATTTAGTTAAGTAGTTTGGTATAGTCACAAGAAAATAAACTGCACTTTACAAATTAAAAATGAGTATGTTCACAAATATTGAGTTTTCTAGACTTTGACACTGAATGAATCAACCTACAAAGTCTCTGAAACTCTGTAAACAGTTAAACATCTCATTATATTACATGTGATAGCTGCTACTATTATAAATCTACACACACACATATATATATGTGCATTTGTAGATATGTGTATAAACATGTGTGTTCATACATGTATGCATGTATATGTATGCATTTATGTATACATATGGCAGCTGGATTAAAATAATTTTTATTTTGAGGGATTTATTATAATAGTCTCTAGCTCTGTTTCAATGTTCTAGTTTGAAATGACTTCAATTCATATTAACCATGCCAAAACTGCAATTGTATTGCATAATGAATAATGTTTTTTAGCCTAATATGCAGCTGCAGTTGCAATAAAAACTGTCATATGCTCAGCCACGAGGAACTAGATACTGATTAAAGCTGTGTACAGTGGTTAAAAATATAGCATGGATTTATCATAGTTCCAGAATAGAAAATCCAAAACATAATCATAACAGTCTTTTTAATTTCTCAGCCTCATTGCTGAAGGTTTATACAGTACATCAGTTTTACTGCAGCTTCCTTTTCATTGCAGCCAGAGGAACAGCTACTGAAGGAGTAAATGGTGTTGACTGAGATCCATCTTGCAAAGGTGGCTAGGCAAAGAACATGAAGTGTCTAGAAAAGCAGGGAGGGGAAAATCCCTGATGTGATAAGGTAAGTAATGATAAGACAATCCAAACCACAGGAAGGAGATTTCTAGTTCATTTGTTTGCTGCTACTACACTTCCTGGGGGCAGAAGTGAGGCGGAATCTTAACTGTATTTTACCTCTTTCTTCACAAAGATACTGTGAGAATAAATAAGGGTGCTGAGCTGTGGAGATACAGTGGTAGTGAGGAACATATAACTACGTAGGTAAACAGACTATCACTAAAATATTATCATAAATGACCTTGAATAAAACATGTATATGTTTGTTCAAATTAAATCTGCTTATGTCCTCTTGAATTCTGTCTCTTCAAACCTAAGTGTAACACAGCCTTAAGCCCATTGATTTCCACAGGGTTGGATTTAGACTTTACACTCTAATGAAAGCCAAATACAATTTCAAAAGATTGTGTTAGTTCAGTGCAAGCCCCAGATCCCCATGTCATGAGAACATGTTGTAAGCAAATTTTTAAGACTTACGATGGTTCTTCAGACACCACTGCTCCTTCCTCCAGCTCTTGAGCCTGCTTATACCATGGCAACTTTGCTTCCACAGGAAGTTTCTCTATGAAACAATCACAAGCATGTGAAAATAGGAAGCATGGAGTAAGCCTGTTATGTGTGCCAGCCTCCTCTCTCTCGATGAGCATGCCTGTGAGGCATATATGCCTTTATCCACATGGAGGCTGAGCACAAAGAAGAGAGAGAAGGAGAGCAAGAGAGAGAAAGAAACTCCTTCATGACCGGGACTATAACACTTACAAGGTTATCTCATCAGATAGTTGACTCTTGCAGCTAGAAGAGCTATGGTGTTCTGAAGCCAGAGAGACAAATTAAGTAACTTTTCAGACTATGCAACTGGGTCGTAAAAATAGGCGCTTTGGAAGGTATTTTTTGGAGCAAGTCTTGCAGGTGTAATGGACCTCCATTGATACTGCAAAGGCAAAATGCATAAAACCCCTGTGTTTACCCTTAAATTTCAGAACTTCAGAAGACAGATTAAGCTTGGTTTTTGACAGCTTATGTAAAGGAAGAAAACCCTGATTTGAAGAGTGATACCACAGAAAAACAGAGAAACCATAATAAAATGCCCCAGCTATACTTTTCAACTTTATCAGTTCTTCAGCTATCTGGATTTAAAAACATTAGCATGATAATTTTTCTGCCATTTCTGATGGAAAACAGTGGAGCTGTTTTTCCTCCCCTCCAGGATGTATGCACAACGTAATGATCTACTCTGCTCTGAGGAGTGCAGGGCCATGCTGCTTCGTGAGCCAAACTCTGCTTTCATGTGGTGTCAAAGTGGAGTATTTGAGCTGAAGGTGGTGGAGCTGTTTTAGCTCTACAGGGGTATAAAGCAAGAGCAAATTTGGCACTATAATTTGAGAAGGAGTTCTGCATTTCACCAAAACGTTCTGGACTAAGATCAGGGGAAAAAACACAAATAAAAGGGAGTAAGGCTCAGACCACTGAGGAGAACCAGGGCCAGACCTATTTGCCACTCATAAATCACCTAAGCTTTTCGGGTTTGTATAATGCATGGATTTGTACTTGCCAATGGGAGCAGATTAATGTCATTCAGAATAGAGGGGAACTTTCTGTGACTATTGTGCACAACAGTGAGCCTTTCCCATATGCACACAAAATTTCTCATCTGTCAGTTTTATCATGGAGGAAAAACAACTTACAACTTGATTTCACAGCTACCGTAACTTTAGTCAAGCAAATTTCTTGGAGCAAGTTATCAACTGAGGAAAAAAGGGACAGTAATAGACTCACCATTCCTCTCAGAAATAATTTGCCAAGCTCCTGCTCTTAACATATTTATTAGTGCTATTTAAGGATGAATATTTGCCAGCACAGCTCTTAGTTTAATCTATATTTTACTGCATTTGATATCCAAAATATGTAGGAGATATTTCTATTTATGTGTTCTGCAGCTTGTTTTATGGGTTTTGGAAAGCCAGATCTTACTTCTGTGTTTTTTTGCTTGGATGCAAGTGCTTGTTAAAATCAAAAGCTCTTGTGTACCATTGCCTGTTATGTGACTTTTAAAATAGCTTTTATTTTTTAAAAGTGTACTTAATTATCATCTACACTGTAAAATGAGTTAGAGGATTAGAAATGTTGATGTTGTACAGTGTCCTTTTAAAAAAAAAAATAAAGAAAAGGAATAAAACCCACTCCTAACACAAGCTTTTACCTTTGGAGATTAAAGTAAAATCTCTCCTTCGATAAAACAGTTCCAGTAAAAACCACTTAAATCCTATATTACACACAAAGTTGTATTAGATGAATACATCTTCTCTATTAAAACTGCAAGTCATTATTTAATCCAGGGATATCCTATTATTTACCATTACTGGTGTAAGATAAAGTACGCCAGTGCTTGAATAAACTAAAATGAAATTAATTATATGAACTATTTTCATTATATTTCTGTTTAATACAGTGTGTTAAAAGAAGACAGAATTCCATATTTTTGTCTTGCTACTTCAGTCAGCTAGGAAGATTTTTCTTCTGCTTTATGTTAATCCAGCTCCAGAATGGAGAAGCAGGCTGAAACTACAATATTCAATAGAGGAAAGGTACTTTTCTATCCCTACTGCTTTAAATTTCTAACTCTAAATCTAACTAGATTTCTAACTTTCTAAATCAAAGTAGATTTCTGAAATAAAAAGGACAAATTTCCAGCACATAAATAGAATAATCTGGGTTGGAAGAGACCTCTGGGTATCATCTGGTCTAGCTCTCTTCTGAAAGCACAATTCAGCCTTAAGATACACGGGCCTTCAAATGTTATCTCTCGCATTATGGAGAGAGAACTGTGAGAGCACTGCAGAACCAAGATGAGGAATAAAATTAAACCCAAGCAAAACAGTTTGCTTTGCGTAGGACTTTCCATCCCATGGGGAAAAAAAATGGAAGAAAGAAATAACTGCTTACAATCAGAAATTAATCACTTGTGTACGGCAAAGGGCAGTATAAGAGTTTATCCAGGGTAAAGATGCAAGAGTGGGTTTCCAGCAAACAGCAATTTATTTTATTCCCACAGAAGTCCCATTGGAAGGGACTTCTTGACTGATGCAGGCAAGCAAAGCTTTCTTACCTGGTCTTACCTTTCTCAGGTTCTGTAGGCAGAAGTCAGTTGTTAGTGGTTTGCAACACCTAATTTTTTTGATGTCTTACTGCATTTTGCTTAATACCTTATGCTGTAGGCAGACAGGATCTTGCTTTACCTGTGCTCTGAACACCATAAACAGATAAAGCCCTATGAAAACAGCTGACTGACTGAGCCCACACCCAAGCTGAATCTTCATATGAGTCTCAGAGTTATGCTAACACAGTCACAGGGCCTTCTTCTTCATCTTGAAAGGTAGATAGAGTGAACTCATATTGGCGAGCAAAATACAGTGCGAACACACCCATTACTTCCCAGAGGCCCTGTGTCTGGTTTTTGCCACTTTGGTGTCTGGCAGACACAGTGAATTCTCATGGTCCAGATGATAAAGCAGAATCTTGAAATTTGGCAAGTGTGCCCATCATCAGTCACTGAGTGCAGAAATTAAAATTCAGAATATCACTGTTCCATCTTGGATCAGCATAAAGTCATAGGTCACTCTTTTTCACAGGTTTTCATAGTAAGTGCTCTTAGTATGTATCAGGATAGCAGCTAATTTTTTAAAAGGAGTTGATTTCTTTTTATGGAGAGGTTTAAATCTCCATTTAGGGAAATCTATTTCACCTGCATTGGGGTATCTCAGAAGTTTCTGTAAGTTAGTTAGAGTATAGAAAGAGAGGTTGTATCGATAGAGCTGTAGACATGCACAAACACATGCACTCTCATATACCTGTGGAAACAGTCAAACCTGTGTCTGATGCACCTGGCTACTGCCCATTAATGTAATCCAGCCTCCAGGAGCTTTTCTAACATTTCCACCCCATAAGGACCTCCAAATAGGTGCAGAAATACTTTCTCCTTCTCTCAACAAAATGTGGGGGATTTACCCCAGTACTACTTTCCAACTGAGGCCCAAGTCAAGAAACATTTCTATACAAATTGTGAATACTCCTTGCTATAAAATGCTTCAAATCTAAGAGTCTGCCAAATTTTGCAGCCTTGCTAGTAAGAGAAACTTCATGTTGGGATATACAATGCTTGCTTCTGACCTATTTCAAGCTCCAAGTTATTAACAGGCACTTTAAAATTATGGTTACTTTTATCTATCATAAATATTATTTTTTATATTTAATTCCTTCTAAAATACAGGGCAAATTTAGCCCAGATACAATCAGTGAGGTCAAACCTGCTTATACTGTGGTCAAATTTACATTTATGCTGCTTGGTCTGCTTGATCACAAATTAACAGTGGAAACCCCAGAACTTGTAAGAAATAGGAAGGGGCCAGCATTCACTCCAAATTGCTAGCAGGCGGATTGGAATAGGAATGGCAGGCCTTAAAGGTGTAAATTCACAATTCAGTGCAGGTGGAAACAGTACTACCAGCAACAAAACAAAACTGCTCAACGTGGAGGAGCTCTGAAAAATTTATGAGAATACTTCTGCCTCATTTACCTTTGGGTTTGTAGCAAGGATTGGGTACAATGCATTCTTCTTTTATGTGTGGCTTTGTTTTAGGACTACAGCCTCCTGTATGCATACCCCTGTGATCAATGCAAAGGACCACACGGTATCTGAGTCCTTGTCCACAGGTCACAGTGCACTGGGGAGGAAAAAAAAAAAAAAAGTGCATGTGATACAGCACAGCAGTGACAAATAAAAGGAGAATATGCAACAGAAGTATGTGTATGTCAGAAAGCAAAAAATGATGCAGAAACACTCAACCCTGAACATAAATTATTCATAATATTAAGTAGTTATGGATAAGTTATAAAACTGACAGAAATTTTTGCCTTTTGCTTTGCATATTTACTTGGCTTACTCCTAGATTTCTCTTGCAGTGTCACTCTCTTAGCATTGGCTACTTGGCTTGTGGCCATCTGTCCCATATTGGAAATGCTCAGTAACACCCTGTCAGTTTCGTCTGGAGTCACTCTGCTTTGCTTGGACAAAGTACTGCAGCTTATGGGTTAACAGGGGAGACACTCAGCTATTTTGGAACACGGTACCAAACAGAATGGGAAACTATTTGGGCTTTCCTCCCTCAGACACTTTTTTAAGCCTTTTTTCATTTATTTTTGGTAAGGTAGATAAATTTCCCCCTGTATAGATTGTTTCAGAAGTGGTTGTAAGGCAGAGGATCACAACTACCAACCAGTGGGGAGGGCTATGGAAACTACCAATATTACCTTGCTCTTGGATAGCAGCTTTCATCTGGAAATCACTAAACACTTTGCAATCAAGAACACCTCACCTGTGGGTATGCTATCTTAGCTTCTAAAACCCATTTTACTTGTCAAGAAACTGGAGTGGTAAGAAACCGCATTCAGGATTAAGTCATTATATACAAAATCAAAATACTTTTCTACTTTTGTAGAAAGACATTTAATAGACATTTACTTTCACATGGAAGGCAAGGTAAGTCAGAAAAGACAACTATAATAATTAAAGAGCAGCATCATTTACGGCTTTACGTATTTCTGGACATTTATCAGAAATTAACGATATTCAATTTATGGCTGAAAAGTTGTAATGAAGATATGCCATTACATGCTTATTGGTTTTGTTTTGTGAATTTCACTTATGTTTCCAGTCTATTATTAGTAGAATGTCACTACTTAAACATTACAGATCTGGTTTATTTTTCCATCATTCTCCTCAATCATGTTAATCATATTAGACTAATAGCATAATTTAAAACACAGATCATGGTAACAAGGAAAGAAAGGAGTTAATGTTCCTACTTCCACAAGCTCAATAAACTATAATATAAGATATATTCCTAGTGTGGTAAATAGAAAACCAACAAAGCTAAGCTGATTACCGGAGACCATTCCTGAGCAAGCCACTTTGGGCAGTCAAATATATTGCAAGGCTGGACAACAGGCATCTTTGGAGTATACATGCATTTCCATTCTTCCACTGGGCTGATATGCCCCTGAATGTCTTCTTCCACACATGAGACACTGCGGCTTTGAATGCCCCCTCCACAGGATGAGGAACAGGCAGTCCAGGGTGTACTTTCCCACCTGGAAAAAACCAAACCAAAACAAAGAGGCATCAGGAAAATGAACCCCTGCTGCCCTCCTCACCCTCAAAATGCATAAACTGCTATCTGCAGGAGGGTTTTTTTTCTGATTATTGTAATTAAAAATTAATCATATATGTGTTTTCATAAATGGCCATAACAGCAAAGCACTCTGGTGGCTGCTGTCTTTAAATCACAGATTACTAACATGAAATCCTCTCTCCCACTAACTCAATGACTACTACCACAGAAACTCTAAATACTTTTAATTTAACTCCTTTCATTTAATTAGTGGGATTATCATATCTTTACAATTCGTCATGTTCTGACAAATCTGTCACAAATCAATAGAAGCTCAGTGTGCTCTGAAGCTCATGCTCCTTTTATAAGAACATACAGGGAAACAGCAGTATTTCTTTTCAGGAAAACAACTGAATTGAGGAAAAAAAGAGAAGATGGGAGGAAATGACCAAAAAGAAGTCGTGACTATTCTGATAGGATATGTGGCCTCTGATGGATAAACCAAATGGGCCTTGTTTCCTTGCAGTTGAGGCAGTTAGAGGAATTGAGAAACCATCTTTTCTCTGCAGGTACCATTTGAGAATGTAATGACAAATCCACAGTCCAATGTGTATGTTCTGAAAAGCTATGTATACTTACAAGAATAATCCCCTTTTTACAGTGATGCATATACAATAGTGTATGGGTTGTTTTTTAAGTGTACATGTCTGTCCAGACAAAATTGTTTGGTATATCCTGTCTTATATTCTAGCCATTGTCACAGAGCAGATTCAGGACCATTGTCATGGTCCAATGTGGCTATTCCTGCATTGTCCTGTGCATGCCTGATGGTGTGAAAGTGTGCGTGTTCTATCTGCCTGGAAACATTTCATAAAATATTTTTTCTTTTTTTCAAAGGCAAATGTTGTTTTGGTAAGGAAATTAGAAATAATGTTTGAAACAATGATTTTGGTAATAAATTTCCATTCTTTGGACTGCAAAAAATGTTTTTGTGGGAAAAAACCCCACCTGTTTCCTCTTTTAGGCAAGAAGGAAAAAAAGTTAAAAGTGAGGATTTTTTTCTCCTACTTAAAATAAGGAATTATTTTTATTAAGTAACAAATACAGGATTACAAAGATTGTTAAGGAATATGAAAAATGCTTGTCTTTCCCTCTGATTTTTTATCATATCAACCCATATGTTCTCATCAGCTCCAGTACATATAAGCACTACTCACACTTGGCTACTGGCTGAAAGTGTCATAAAACTCAATGTGAAATGGCTTATGTTAATAGCTGTTTATGAATGGTAAAGCCACTGATTAATTCCATGACTTATCACTGAGATGTGGTGAAAAAATGTTTACACTATGCCACATCCATCAATGCTCAGCATAAGCCATGTATGTCACAAACGGGTAATTTTAGCAGTGTTTTTAGTTCAAATGCTTTATCTGTGGCTCTGCTTCAGTTTCCCAGCATACAGTTAAGGTTCTTCACTGCCACAAATCTAAATCAAGAGGCCTTAAACTGAAATTCGTGAAGAGCAGAAACTGCTGCAGCCAGCCTGCGCCAGCTTTTCCCAGGCATAAAAGTGATGTGGCACCAGGGAATTCCCTGGAGTCTCCAAGAAAAGCTTCCAGACGCCTTAGGTAACCTCAGCAATACCAAGCAGCTTAAATCTAGGCAAGCAGTTTGGTCCTTAGGTTTTGTATGATTGTGAGATAGGAAGGTGAAATTTCTCTTAAAGCAGGTATCACAACTCCTTTTGAGGTACAAAGAGTGCAACATTGACAGAGAATTTGTGAAAACAATTGGTGATGCATTAAAAGTGAGAACTATGTTTTTCTTTTCCTCTTTGTGATAAAATTCAAGGCTGAGGGATTGCAGTAGGGAAATCTTGCAAAGATGCCTTCCCAGATCTGTTCTCCATTTCTCCTGGAGAGCTTGTCACTCTCCCATGTCTCTGGTATTACATGCCAGTCTCAGATAGGTAATGCAACCAGAGTCTCTCTGGTTTCCTTGAAGTTTTTTGTTTGGTTGGTTGGTTTTTCCTCCTAAACTCTGCAGGTTCAGAGGAAAGACATTTTTTATCCTACTTGTCTTGGCCCTGTCTCATGCCAGCCTTGTGGTCTGTTGAGTTTCTGTTGCCTCTGAGGTCTGGAGAAGAGACATGTGGCTGTGTCTTCCCTCTTGGGGAGAGGGAGGAAGACTTGAGCCTTGTTTGTGGGCTCACAAGTGTGGGAGAGGGAAAAGAGGAGAAGCAGCAGTGAAACAGTAGAGGGAAAAAGGGGGTGGAGGTCCCAGCCAGCAGCTGCAGCCTGAGCAATGGACAGTGGGGTTAAAGGAGAATAGTGCAGCTAGGAGAGTGGATGTAAAGGGACTGTTACAGGGTGAGACCATAACCCAGAACAGCTTGAGAAATAGTCTCAGCCATTTGATAATTTTCAGGGAATGATTTTTTTTTTTTTTTTTTTTTTTTTCAGTGTTACTGAAAGCCAAATACCTCAGGGCATTTTGATCCTTTATTTTGGATTTTCTTCAGCAGTAAAAAACCTTCTGCCCAGCTGCCAGCTCAGGATGCTTTTTCTTTAAATACAGTCCCTCCACTGTTAAGCACTGCTGAATCATCCTCTGATATAAAGTTGTTCTCCATCTATTGTGAATGTACATACCCTTTATACACAATCAAAATAAAAGCTGTTTTATTCGAAGCTAGAGTGTTAAACCCTGTATTAATATTCTGGTTTCTGTATTCCTTACTGACAGAGGTTTAATTTTTGAGGTTAGGAGGTAGGTATGCGTTTGGGTTTTTTTTTTAAATAAAGAACAGAAAATTGTTTTCCAGAAAAAAGGAATTAGATGCAGGGGTATATTTTACAAGTTTATCTCATGAATATTTGATGATAATGACTGCGTTCATAACCATAAGCACTTAGCTAGGAAGAGAAAAGCCTAATCCAAATGACACAAATTGTTTACAAAGGTTGTCAACATAAATGGCAGCCACAATGCTTGGCAAGTAAGTGGCTCTCCTCCTTGTCTCCTCACTCATGGTTTGAGGTGGGTCCATGATTTGTCTGGAGACTCAGCTGAACGTGAATGCACTGTGCTTGCACATTAATGTTGAAAGCTTTCTGCATTAGGCCTCACCATGGTTTGTGGGAGGTTGTTTCCTCACCAGGATAAGACTAACAAGTTGCCTAGGGGATTCTTTCTATGATTTCATACTCCATGACACAATAATTTAAAGAAGGAAACACAGCACAATAGTATTGCATGTTCAGGCAGTATTTCAAAACCAAAAGGTTATTATCCCTCAGCTACCAAATATTTTTATCAGCACCAGTCTTATTCACTGCTTTAAGAGTAATTACCCATGCGATTATTTCCATGAGAATCTCAAGTCTTGCATTAAAGACATTTTAATTGTGAGATATTTAATAAGACAAATCAGGCCTTGATCCTATTCCTGCCTCAATCTCTGATTTCTTCGAAAAGCCAATGGATTAATGCCCCTGCAGACAGCATTAACACGGGTTTGCAGAATCAGAACTCAACATTCACACTGTCTAAACCCAAAACCTCACCATTTAGAAGCATGCAAGAAGCAGCACTGCTGGAGAGAGAAAGTCTGATGGTTCATTACAAAGCCATAGTTATAGTCCTGTCCAGAGACAAGTAAAGGGAAGAAAAAGGAAAGATGTGAGAGGAAAAGAGAGGTGGGGGTGGAGGGTTGAGGAAAGAGAGAAAGAAAAGGACCACACACTTAATAAGTCTGCGTTGCTGCTTCAGCGAGAATATCATTTCAGTTCTGCATCAACAGAATTTATAACAGCAGATTGACACTTGAATGAATCCAGGTTAATCTGCAGGATTTCAGAGCAAGAGAAAAGCAACATCTGTTAACTTAGTTTGAGAGCAAAGCAGAAATGCAGACAAGAGAAAAAAAGAAGGAAATGTATTTGTTAATCGTAGCATCTGGTTGACTGTTTTACGTACCGAGGAAGGGGATGGTAGAGGTCATAGGGCATGATCTGCTTGTATCCATCACTGTTAGGAACAATAATGCCAACCCTCTGAGTAGAAGGTATACATAATAAAATAAACACTAAATGATTACATTACACAACATTTTTTACACAATATTACAAAAAACCCAACATATTTTACCTAAGTTGATATCACATTTAAAACAAAACTTATGCTCCCATCATACTGTTTCTGAGTCATTCAAAGAATAAGCCACCAATTACTGCTTTATTCTTATTAATATATTACAGCATGAATAAGAAGCAACCCATTACCACAAGCGATCCAAATGAGTTGTCCAAATATTATTTAAATTTATGAGGTTACTCTCTGACATAAAAAAAAATAAATTATTCACTCCATACTTTATTGGATTTTGGATCCAAAGTCACTGAATACAGTACGAAAACTATTTGCTTCAGACAGCTCTAGATCAAACCCTTTTTAAAACTATTTCACAGTTGTTTCTACCCTTCAGGTAAAACACATGCTTTTACAGGGGCCAGGATTAGAAATCCGGGGAATTCCAGTGCAAGAATTCAAATCTGCAATTCTTGTCTGTCCACCTTAAACCAGTAAAATTTCATTCATCTTCAGAACTTTGGGTTTTTTCTGGAAGAAAGAAGGGGCTGAAAAGAAGCGTAACATGTCAGGTTGGTTTTTTGTTTGTTTGTTTTTGATGTCTAGAATATTTTTATAGATTCTGACTCAGAGTAACTCTACTCATGTTGTCTCTCAATTATCAGGCATATCTATTACCATGATATAGTTGATTCCAGAGCACTTCATCTACTAATTTCATCAAAGTCACTGTGCAACAGGAGACTTGGATGGGGCAGGTGGGCAGAACCATCAAAGATCGAATGCCAGTTGCATTAAAATAAAAAGTGTGTCCCTACCCAAGTTACGGAGAGAGGAAACTGACTGAAAAGAATAAAAGATATTTTTGAGAGCCTTATACAGATAAGAGGTGCTAGATATGCTGGTACAGATTTTTGCAAGGGGGAAGGAGCAAAGGAGGGGGAAAGGAGAAAGTACTCTCCATCCTCAGCACAGCTCACTGAAAAATGCTGTAGGCATTCAAAGGAGTCTTGTCATGCTAGGGCTAAAGGGGTCTATTTTCCTTTCAGTGAACAGGGTTTTTACTTGCATAACTTGTTCATGATAGGAGAATAGATCTAATTGTGTTTTCACAGCAAGGAATCAGCACCAGGTCAGCCTGCTGGAATTTTCCAGCTAAAGAATGGGAAGATGCTGGAGCCCTGGAAGTGTGTAAGGGGGACTAGACAGCTCCCTCTAAGATTAGCAGCCTCTGAAGTCAAAGGAACCCTCTGGGTGAGTGTGCATATTTGCATCTTCAGAGAGCTGCCTGTCTCCACAAAAATATGAACATCTAGGAGAGACAGTTCTGGCACTGGGAAACTTTGGAAAAGATAAATGAGTCATATAGAGTAAGGCCAATGAACAAGTCTTTTCAGACTTAGCTTGATGGGTAAAAGCATGAAGTTTCAGAAATTGTGTACTAGTATTTTAAGAAGATGGAAGGGGACATTTTCTGAGTTTTTTTGCTCATGCTTCTGTGAATCTCTGCTGTATTCCTGACTCTTCTACCACTGCTGCTGAAGTTCCACTCAGAAGGCTTTTGCACTTTCCAGCTCATCAGCTTGCTGAGGAGCAGCTGGAAGAAAGATTAATATACCAAGTTCAGAAACAAAATAATTATACTATAAAAGCATCTACTGCCTAAGAAAAGAAACAGATTTCAAAACATTCTTCACTCATTACAGTGAGAAATATTATTTTTCTAATAAACACTACCTGTATGCACAATCCAGGTCTGCATGCATTAGAATGCATAATATCTAAGGCCATTCCAATAGAAATAACCATGCCACATCCAAACACTGTTATGAAGATTAAATAACATTTACAAAGCACTAGATTAATACTGTCATTGGAAAGGTTTGACCCTTAAAGAATTTTGCGTACATAAATTGCATTTCTGTAAATGGTATAGAGCTCCACAGAATTACTAACAATGTCCTTGTTCACATGTGAGGGGCTGACAAAGGCTTTCATTTTGTTACTGCAAGATAATGATCCCCAGCAATGTTAAGTCCCATGGACACAGTGAGGAAAAAACTCACACAATAATACACAATGGCTTAATTTATGACTTTAAAAATGAGCTTAAAGATACAACAGAACAGCAGATGGTCATTGTGCCATTAATGGCTACTGCATCCTTCCTAGCTAGTCTTGTGTGTTTTTTTAGTGTATGTTCCACAAAAAAACCCCAAGCCTAAATGAACTATTTAAGAAACATCTTAGAGATTACTTTGGTGAATCCTGTACTTTTTGACCGGACAAAGTGGTTTAAATTCTATGAATTTATCAGTCCAAGATGGAAGAGATATAGTTTACGGGCTTTACTCATACAGTGCAAAAGGAGATGGTGTGCTAAATGAACAGAGTAAATAATTCCTCCACTGCTCTGAGATTTCTGGCTGATGACAGAAAGTTGCTAACAGGACTCATTCACACAACACCGAGAGCAAACCTGCTTTGGCAGGAGCACAAAGCAAATTATTTTGGAGGTCTGTTGTGTCTCATGTGTGTGAATCTCTCACGCATTTCAGACCAATAAGTTGTGTTATATACTCCACAGATTGATTTGTTTTTCTCCTGAGTGCTGGCAGCTTCAGCACAGTTGGTCTTCCAAGGCACATCTCCAGCTGGAGTGGGAGCTGCGTGTGCCAGACGTGGGTGTGCTGCACCCAGGTCTGCCATCTCTGCAAACATTCCACTTTCCCCTGGGATGGGTCTCCACAGCCATGCTCCTTGAAAGTCATGTTTGGCATCATCTTCCCCAGTATCTCCTTTTCCTCCTTAAGCTAACTCCTTAGCACAAATGACAGGTGTAAATGCCTTTCTCCTGTGGCTCCCCAATGACTCTCTCTCTGACAAGGTGCCAGCCTTTCCTGCCTCCCTGCCCTGCATGTTCATGGCTCCTGGGTAGGGCATCTGCTTAGCTGAGCAGGGGCACAGGAGCTAGAGCTGGGAGAAGAGCCAGCAGAGAGAAAGGGCCTCAGGGTGGTTTGATCCTGCATGGGGACGATGTGCTGAGGCTGGGAGTGGGTAGGGGCTCCTGCACTGGTGTCCCCACACCCTGCTGTGCCAGTGCCCAGACTCTGCAGGACACTCGCATGTCTCTGCCTCACGGCCTTCACTTCTGCTGTGGGCTGTGTTTTCCTGCAGGTTTGGTACCTGCAGTGTTGCAGCCATAGGGCTGCCTAGACTCCTGGGTGGCTGGAGCTTTTACACTTCTTTGCTGATGAGTTTTGCACAGCAAGATTTAGGCCTTTGCTGAAATGTGTCAGACTTGAGAGTAAATGATGTGCATGGCAGGGACTAAGCCATCTAAGCCGTGGTCTAAAATGTATGTGCAAAATATTATTAAAAATCAGCAAATAATAAGAAAAAGTTGATGCAGCTTAAGCTGGCTGTGGACAGCTAATTCATTAAGTGAAAGGAAACACTTAGAAGACCTGAAAAAGTTCATCACAAAAGACGAGAGTTGAACATCTGAGTCAGCATCTCCCTGAGAGCTGTGATTATCGCTGGACCGACAAAAGGCTTGTGAAAAAGACTTCAGTTTAACAGTACAAATCCTGACACTAAACATTGAATCACAGAATGGTTTGTGTTGGAAGGGCCCTTTAAAGGTCCTTTAAAGGGCCTAGTCCAGCCCCTGCAGTAAAGATGAACATCTTCAACTAGATCAGGCTGCTTAGAGCCCTGTCCAACCTGACCTTGAATGTTTCCAGGTGTAGGCCTTCTACCACCTCCCTGGGCAACCTGTTCCAGTGGTTCACTACCCTTACGGTAAAAAATTTCTTCCTTACATCTGGGCTAAATCTACCCTCTTTTAGTTTAGAACCACTACCCCTTGTCCTATCACTACAGGCCCTGCTAAAAAGTCTGTCTCCATTGTTCTTATGGGCCCCCTTGAAGTGTTGAAAGGCAGTATGTGATATACCTTCCCCTCACAGTGCTCTGTGAAGATGCCAGAGTGTGACTTTATCACCTTGTACTACAAAAACATTTTCTGCCCTGAGACAGGTTTTGAGGCCCTCAAATAGCCAGTATCTGTTAATGTTTTCCATGTGTTACACTGTAAAACATCAGGATAGATGACATTTACAGTAACATTACAGGTACAGGAAAAATTGTCTTTTGAATGCCTGCTTTGGCAGGTAGAGAGTATTGTAACTTTCAGTTGCGCTACCAGTATGAGTTATATTTCTGGTTCCTGGACCACCATGCTCAGTCTTGAGATATAGATAGTATTGTGATCATCTTATCACATTACACTCTATCAGTGTGGAAGCTGAAGAACTACCATGTATTTTGTACTTATATATCCTTTTATATAGTCCTAATATTGTACGGATTGGTAAAAGCTAATGTCCCCTACCTAAATATTTTTAAATGGAGTGTCAGTGGATACATAAATAACCTACTTACAAATGCAAAGGACTGCCAAGAAAGCTATCCTGTGTCAGCCTCCAGAAAAATTTCGTACCTTAGACAGCATGTCTGTTCAGCATAACAGTATCTCACCTTTATAATAATTTTGTTCATTGTGTACAGATTTAAAATTCTAAGAAATATATGGTTTACTTATCATTGCTATAGACTGCTAAAAACTTATCTCTTTGCAAGGCTTCAAATGGGTGTCATCAATTGGAAGTGGCAAAAATCCTTCCTTCCTGTAGCATGACTGTAATGCTTCTAAAAATCTTATCTTTTAAAAATTCAGTTTAATAGTTTATGGTGGTTTGGATGAGCAGTGTTTGATACAAAAATGAAAATTTATTGTTATTTTCCACTACTAAATGTTAACAACTGAATATCCAGTGAAAATCTCTGTAAGTGACCAACTTAATACTTGCTGTAGTTTTGGTTTCTTCTAGGACTTAAAAATACTATATTTCCTGTAACTCTTGGGCAGACAGATA